ATCTGTGGCACATCTAAACACTGCAGGACAGCGGCCTTTGAGGACTGGAGTTTGACACCCCTGAATGACAGATTAACAGATTTATTATTGTTGAAGAAACTTTTGTCCGATGAAATATATATAATACAGGACACTTTGAATAGCATGTTGCATTTCTTTAACAATGTGAAGTCCTTACTTATTAACTATGTAACACATTTCTTCATTACAAAAACTTTTCTGCTGGTTTTCCAGTTTTAAAAATCTCAGGTCCAGATCAATCTGCATTTTAAGTTTTCTTGTGACTAATGAGTTTGTTAGTTAAACTTTGATTTTTTTTTTAGTTATTTTGTATTGAGTTATCATGTGAAAAACCTAAATACTGATAGATGTAATGTCAAAAATCATCATGCATAATCACATATTGAATTAAATAAAGAAGAACTTTAGAAGATGTAAACAATGACTTATTTGCCAAAAAAGTGTCAAAAATAAGTGAATTGTTTTACTGCAGAAATATTTCATATTTTCTTTATCCTTCTTGATGGAATCAGAGGTGTTTATGATTTACTGTTCAGACTCTTTTTGTAACACCATGAATAATTTTAGATTTGTGTATGTGGTATTTCCCTCGGAGTATTATGAGGTTACGTATATAATCTTCTTCCTTTTTTATTTTGCTCTTTATATTGTTTACATGTGTCTGTGAGTCGTATTCATCTCTACTGTGAGTTGCAGGGAACTTTCTGACGTTGACACCATGTGATGCTTTTTTTGCTCCAGCAGATGGCGCTGCCGGATCACTGGGTGAGCGACACAGCAAACAACACTTTATCAACAGGCTTTATTGGAATGTCAGATTACCAGACTCAAACAAGAACCCATATAATGAACTTGTAAAACACACAAATGCAGTAATACTTTTAATACTCCGCTGTTTTTTTTTTATTTAATGAACAAAAGGCAGTTTTAAGCTTTAAATGTTAGATCTGCATGCTTGTTACGTTACAAAGCAAAGTGCTGAGCACAAGAATGAACACACACCGACGTCTCCAATCTCTGGTGGAAACGATCAGCGTGCACCCAGTGGCAGCAGGGGTCGCTGTTTTCTCTGTACAGTTATGAGCCTCGGTCCGGCAGTTGGCAGCATTATACTGAAGTTGATGTGAGGAAGAGGAAGTGGGTGAAACAAAATGAAGAGGAGGGAGCAAGTGATTGCAGGTGAGGCATGCATACCACAAGAGTTCAATAAGCTGGTGCAGGTGTGAGGGTGATGTGGAGGTGAGAGAAGAAGAAGAAGAAGAAGGTCTTCAAGCGGCTGAACATCAGGGTGTAAACCAGGAGTGTCCAAACTTTTTGTCAAATGGGTCAAAATCATCAAGACAGATTTACTTGTGGACTAAAAAATATGCAATTTCTAAAACAATATTATGACATTTTTACATACTCAACAATAAATTAAGCATACAATAATTAAAACACTGCAAAAACACAAAATCTTACTAGTTTCTTATGAAAATATCTTACACTTGAAATAAGACAAAACCAACTAAGAAGTAATTTTTAAGTCAAATATAGGAGCTTGTTTTAGTAAATAACTTCTTAATTGTGATTCTTTCACAAATAACATCGAAAAATGTCTTATAAGTGAAATATTCTCTCAGTGGAATCAGTACTTGTTCATTGATATTAATAAATGGTTTACTTAAAACAAGCTATATCTCCGAAAAGTTACATGAAAGTTAGTTTTGTCTTATTTTAAATGTTCTAAGATATCTGCACTAGAAACTAGACACAAAATATTTAACAATATTTTGTATTTTTGCAGGAAATAAACAAATAAACTATACATTTTTGTAAGAATAGGGTGTGTAAATCATTGCATACCCACAAGTTAAAAAAGACTTTGCACATTTGCCTTATAATGACTTGTTTGGGGGGCAAAGTAGTCTCAGTTATAAAAAACAGGATTTGGGTCAGGTTTTGGATAAAACTTTAGCCATGTGTAATACATTAAAAGCTAATTTTAAATAAAAATTATTAAACAGATGTGTTCCTATTAGCTAAAAAATTAAAGAGAATGCAGAAAGTGTGGTAATAAAAGGATGAATACTTTGTATTGCATCAAACATTTTCCATACAAGAAGATTTTAAATTGTAATAATTTTACCCTGATTTAAAACAAAAGGTCTCCATCTGCATCAAAACTTGTGTAATTTTCGAATTGTGATTGGGGGCCACACAGAATCAGTCCTGGACAATGGACACCCCTGGTGTAAACGGTGGAAATCAGAAGGTGGCAGAAGACTCTATGGCTTGACAGATGTGGACAAAAACCTCAGGTGGCGACCGCTCGGCGTCAATCTGCAAACAGAGACAAACAAAGGACTTTCAGAAACTATTTAGCATTTCTACAGAGTGCTCACAGCCCAGCCTGGACTAGAAGCTGCTTATTTTATTTTTTTATTTGTTTGTTTTATCTTGCAGTCGCCAACTTTCTATTATTCCTAAATCTCCTATGGAAAATGTAAAAGCAAGAAAGACAAGAGAAATGTGGTGTGTTTTCTTCAACATATCTGAATTAAATAATTAGGTAATTAGCAGATGTGTCAGATCAGAGACACATCAGACTACTTAAAATATTTCTCCTAAAAGAGCCAGCTTTATTTACTTTTGTATTAATTTTATGCAATAGGGACAGTGCCTTCTGTCGCCTGCATTGTTTTTCAGCCATTAAACTGTTTGATGGCGGGGAGGTTCTCTGCAGACTAAAGTGGGCGTTTCTACATTTTCCACGTTGCTAGCTGCATTTCAAAAATGTCAATATTCCACTAATGTCAAAAAAAAAATCATAATTCTGAAATTGTGGTGCCTCCATTAAATAAAAAAAATGCAATAAAAATCACACATGAATAAGTTTGTTCAAGATAAATTATTAAAATTGCCCTCCAACTACTTCCTGTGGTTTTCTTCTTCGTGGTTTACGCCAGTGTCAACATCCGGTTGTTAATCATGTGACTTGTGTGAGACAAACACTTTTTTTTTATCGAAACAAGTTTTTTTTTTGCTATTGCCTTTTTTTTTTCAAAACGTGAAATTGCGTAATCATATGTTTATTCTGCCTTTTATACGTTAAACTGGATCACGTTTTTGTAAACCACACTAGAACTCCCCCTGGTGGATGTTTCGATACATCGTTTGGTTACGCTGAAAAAAGAAAACAGAGATCCAAGATGGCGGAACGTAATACCGGAGAGTTCCTAAATTAAACTGACATCACCTTGATACGTTGTTGTTTTGCACGAGATTTATTCGTAAGTATTGGTTAGCTTGCAGTAAGCATGGCTAGTTTGCAATGTTAGCTAATCCTATGCCTTGTATATTTCAGTTTTACGATGGTCATAGTGAAGGCAGTGGTCAGACGCCATTCTTCTACAAACAAGCAAAAAGAAGGAAAGATAAGTCTGGTTGTTGGAGCGTCGTTATCTTGCTGCCTAGCCGGTGAAAACTAAAATCTCAGGGCGAGGACAGCTCAACGACCAATGGAAATGTAGCTATTTACATAATCATTGTTTATCTTCTATCAGAAATTAATGTTTTATTTGAAAGGTTACATAAATCTTTATTTGTGTATTTATGTTAAATTAAAAACCCGTTTTGCCAGGTCTGGGCTCACCTCTGTACCTGTGTTGGCATTTAAGCACGCACGCAGACTCATGCATGCAGCTGAGGTGGCATTTCAAGCGTTCAGACAGTTTATTTTTAAAGAAGCGGATCATCTCCAAACAGAAGGTCTGTGGTTTTTGACTTGGCCTCATGTTAGTGGGAACATCAGTGAGGTGTGTGAAGCCCACAGTGAGTCAGATGTTGCCTTTAAGGTCACCGCTGACCTTTTAAAGCAGCAATAATATTCCCAATTATCCGGCTGTGGTGTGGAGATGATAGAAAGCTGCGTACAGTTTATAGACTGGAGAAGATTGGACACCTCTGCTGCTGTAATTATTTCTCTTAACTCTTTAAATTAAAAACGTTGGGGTTTAAAGTTTGAAGTTATGTGGAAGTTGTAATGAGTGAGATAATGAAAGAAGATAATTAAAGGTGAAATAAATAAAAACTTTTAGGACAAGAGTCAACTGTTGTTCAAAAATTCAATTTCCCTTATGTTTGCAATTAATAAATACATCATTCAGTCATTTCTTATCTAAGGAAATGCTCAACTTTCACAAACATCCATAAACTCACTAACTTTATGGCCAGTTCTGTAGTAAAACTGTTCCAGTTACTTTCAAAACAAAAGGCTTTTGTTAAATCTGAAAATATGGATTCTCATTTAGAATAGGCTCTATTTTCAGAATAAAGCCTCATTTAAAGATCCCCACCATACACATCAAATAATTAGGTCAAACACATAATTAGGTGTGTTCGACCACAGACACATCAAATTATTCAAATTATATAAAATATTTATCCTTTTATTTTTTCCTTTATGTAAGTAAAATCCTTAAAATATAATTCCGAAATTCAAAGGAGGGGGAAAATACAAAATGCAAAGTGGTGTTCACTGCAAAGTCACAAAATCTTACCAAATATTTTGTGTTTAGTTTCTAGTGAAACTATCTAGACATAACTAACTTCCAGCTAACTTTTCAGCTAGATAAAGATTATTTTAAGTAAATAATTCATTAAAATTGGTGAAAAACTTCTTGTTCCACTGGCAGATTATGTAACTCATGTAACTGGTAGTTTTAACCTATATTCAAGAATTATTGACTTAAAACAAGCTGAAAAGTTACTTAGAAATTAGTTTCTTCTTAATTCAGGTGTGCTAAGACATTTGCACCAGAAACTAGACAGATTTGATGTTTTTGAGTTGAGTGGATTTACAGAGGATCGGTAGGGAATTGAACCCTCGCCCTGTCTTACGGTGTGCAGCAGCATTTTGCGTTCATAGTGAGCGATGACGGCCTGGGCGTCGCTGCAGAAGCTCTCGGCTCTCCTCTGCAGGGCGCTCTCTGAGGAAGAGGAGGATCTGCTGCGGCTCTGCACCCTGCTGGTCATCGTCTCTGGAGAACAGCTCAGCAGAACCACGGCACTCGGTTCCCCCATCTGATCCCACAGAGGAGAAAACGTCTCAGTGGATCCGTATGTGACAAATCCCGACTGTGACCATCTCATTTCTTCCTGTTTACCTAATCTCTTCCTGCAAATATCACCTTTAACACCTATTTATGTCTCTGACTGCTGCATGACTGACTCATTCGCTTCCCTCCCCTTTGGGAGGGAAGCGAATGAAAAAGACTTTTCTGACTTTTCCATCTTTTATTCATGTTTCTGACCAGATGTGGGGTCAGTGTCGGTGCGCTGCCTTGCCTTGGCTTCGTACTCCTCCGCCTGCCTCAGGTCTCTGGGGAAGCCGCTCACTACCAGACCCTTTCCCTGTCGGACCGCCGATGCCACGGCGTCACACAGCAGCTCCAGCAGCGTCTCCTTGAGATTCAACACAAATAATTCATCATGTTATGAATTAAAGGTGACCTACTATGCTTTTTAATCATTCTTAGATCATCAGATATTTTTCTTTGGTCAGTTCTTCTGATTTTGAGCTTTTTTCAGAATGAGCTGCGTTAGGGCCTTTGTCACTTTAACATCCTCCAGCTCAACGTTTACACTTGCACTTGAAAATGGCTGCAAACAGATAAACTATTATACAACCCTACATCTTTGAAAAGCAGAAGTAGGGCCTCCTGCACAACCAACAAGAATGTAGCAAGTGGTTTCTGGATGGTAAGTCAACAATAGACCACTTGTCTTTTCTAGCAGCCATTGTACAGCGCATACAGCAGGAAAACCAGCTGACCAAAAGTGCTGGAACTCTGCTTGGACTGCTAGGTAATGGGCCTGGGCTCAGCTTGAGTTGCTAGGTAACGGGCAGAACGCTGCTTGGGTTGCTAGGTAACGGGCTTGGGCTCGGCTGGGGTTGCTAGGTAACGGTGCAGTGCCCATCGAATGTGACTCAGAATCGGCAGGTTTTTGAAACGGTTCATTTTCCAGACACCAGAAAACATGAACTATTGCCAAATAATGGTTCTATGTGTCTGTTTTTAGAAGCAGTAGAGGCACAAATTGAAGTATGAAAATATGCAAAATGTGAATTTTGCATAATAGGTCTCCTTTAAATCTTGATGTATGACTTAAAAAACAAATTATCGCTAGAAAACTGCCAGGGATTCACATCCATATGTTTATTCCCATAGTTTGATTTTTGGAATAAATTTATTTTAACATAATTACTGAATATTATCTTATATTTTTAATAAAACAATAATAACAGAAGGCTGTTAATCACCCATTCATTAAGTCAAGTGTGTGGCAGCAGGGAAACACCTAGAAGATGCATGTTGTTGTTTTTGTTAGAAATACATTAAGAACTTTTTTTAGACAAAATTTATATTGTCATTGGTGTTTGAGTTTTAGGTTTCATTTGTGTTCTTTTTTATCATTTCTTGTTTTTCCTCATTAGCTGTCTTTGTTAGTGTTATCTTTTCTACTAATTGTTTGTGTTTCAGGTTTTCCCTTCCTCCATTTTCTCTGCTTTGCTTATCTTTCACCTTCCCTTTCAGTCTGCTTCCTGCTCAGATGTTTTCCTTCTGCCCGTTCTCCCCCCAGCTGTTTTTACTTGCTTCTGATTAGCTCATCTTCTCCACTCTTCAATGTATGTATTGTTCTCGACTGGCTGCTGCAGTTTCTTCTCCTGTAAATATGTTTTTCTTCCCCCCATTAAATGATATACTTTATGACAATTTTCAGTTCTCCTGTGTGCATTTTGGTCTAATAATGTGACCTAAAAATGTTTGGAAACTGCACAACTTTTCCGAATGCCTGAGACGCTTTTTGAGATCTACAGTAATTTAGTTCTTTTCTGTGATGCTATATTAAAAATTGCAGGTGGGAAGATAATAATTCACAATTTACTGTGAGGAAAATGACGTTACTTTCAACCTGTGATTTTCGTAGTCCAGTGTGATAATTTTGGACGTCACCGCCCAACATTGAGCTCAACTACCTGACAGGAAGCTAATTTATCTGGTTTGCATCTGGGATTTATGATGCGTTTAAGTTACCTGGGAAATGAGAAGTTGAAGCTGGGTTTGACAGGTAACAGCATTTTCGTTAATAATTTCAACATAGACACTGTTTGCATTGCCTCTTACAAACATAATTTTAAGCTTTACTTTCTTTAAGCAAAAAGCACTTTTAATTTTCAATTTAAAATTTCAGGTGCTACAAGTAACATTAATATTAGACACATTCTTACTTAACTTTTTTGTAAAATACACATTTCCACCAAAGGTTAATACTGTTGATACAAGGAGCGGCCATTTTGAAACGCAAAGTTGGCTTACGAGTTGTAATTGTGGATAGTCTGGGTTGTTCCCAGTTTCCCAATGGGAAATGTGACTTTCCCATTGGGAAAGTTCCAGTTCTCTTTATTCCCCGATAAAATCAGAATTTCCCAGTTCTGAGTACAACTGGAAAGCATCATAAGTTGGGATACATTCAGTGCTGCACTGGTGGAAGCTGATCGGTGGCTTCCTGGGGAACCTGTAACGTTTAATGTTGCTCAGGAAGAACAGTCTCTCCTGGGTTTTTAAAATGACTCAAAGTGTTTCAGTTCCAGGTCGATTTATTAGTGAGAGAGTTGAATTTTGGGACTCTCTCAAAAATTCAAAAGACAAGTGTTTTTGTTGCTGACTTACTATTCAGAAACCACTTGCTGCATTCTGTTGGTTGTGCAGGAGGCTCCACTTCTGCTTTTCAAAGAGGTATAGTTGTATAATTGGGCATCTGTTTGCAGCTATTTTCAGGTACGAGTGTAAACGATGAGTGGGGCTCATTCTGAAATTATCTGAAAATAGGCAAACCTGAGAAGACTAAAACCTCATTATCTAAGAATTATTTTGTGCTAAACATGTAATAAGCATGTTTTGTATCCCCCATAGACATATGCTAACTTGTTCAAGGAAGCATAATAAATTACCTTTAATGCACAGGCCAGTTTTATGATTCCTGTTGCTCTTTTGTTACTATGTATGCCAGTAAAAATGGAGCACACTGTAAACTTCCTAAATGATATTCATTATGGAATGTAGCTTAATATGACTTGTAATCAACAGAAAGTTGATGCAATTTTAAGGTTTTAGTTCCTTTCAGTCCAAAAGCAAGGCTAGAAGGTGGATTTAGATTTTGTTTTTTTTTCACTTTTGTAGAGCTGTGTGCACTAAAATCTCTGCAGTTTTTACTTTACTGGATGCTTGCTTGATGTTTTTCTTTCAAAAAGTCAGAACTGTCATCCCTGAATAAAAGTTTGGTGTGGAAAAGCTTTTCAGCTGAATCTGACCTCCAGGAGAAAATCTGCTCAGATTGGAAGAGGAAGGGAACAGGTAGCTGTGATTTATGTTACAATTTCACCTCGTCAGCAGCAGAAAATATATTGCAGCATAAGCATTTGTGTCCAGGTCTATGATCAAAAATGCATCAAATCAGTAGCATCATGTCAACAAATCAACTCTCCTGGTGCTGTTAGTTTTCACATGACTGCAGTTTATCTCACTGTTGCATGAAAAAACCCCTTAACTTCTGCAGAGAGAGAGATTTCTGCGAACGATTCAGCTTTAAAACCTTGAGAGGAGCACTTTGGTAATCCCACTGTGGGATTATTAATTATTAATCCTCCTCTTAAATCTCAGTTTTCCTCTGTCCTCTCTCTGTGTGTATATATTAAAAAAAGCATAGAGCAGTTCTCATGTTGGAAAACACACGGGACGCAGCCCTAATGTGCTGTAAGAGGCTTAAGCATGAGCCGAGCTCGAAAGCGTTCGGGATTTTCCTGCCAGTCGATGAAAGTCGAAGCAAATCTGTGCGTGGGAGTTTTCATGCAGCCTGTAACTCGGTTCAGCGCTTGTTTATGTTCTCAAGCCTGATTGTTCCTAAAACGTCCAGAGAAATTATGAAATGAAGACGTAAGTTATTCTACTGCACATGCAGTTATATTTTATTGCTTACTTATTATATTTTTTATATAATATAAAGTGACCATTATTTTTTGAAAAAAATTCATTTAGTACTTTTATGAAAAATGGTCAGTGTTAAAAGACTTAAGAAAATTTTTCCTCATCTTTAACGCTTTATTTTTATTTTATTTTATTTAAAGTTCATCATGTCCTGAACCAGTGTAGGTCCTGGAGG